TTATATTTTGTATTTGTATTGCAAAGGTCAGTTTTGTATCCATCCATACTCCTAAAAATCTGATATTTGATACTTGTTCCAATACTTGTCCATAAAGATGAATTCTGGCTATGGGAGTTACTTTCTTTTTTGAGAAACAAATGACTTTTGTTTTTGACACTGACAATCGAAAACCCCATTTCCTTGCCCATCTTTCTACTACATCTTCTGCCGTCTGCATGCTTTTTACTACATATGAAACATTCCATCCTTTCTTCCATAATGTTCCATCGTCAGCATACAAAGATCTTCCTATTCCCAGTCCAGTTTCACAGAATATATTAATCATTATATTGAAAAATATTGGGCTGCAGACACTCCCTTGAGGCGTTCCATTTTCTATTAAATAGCATTTTGAAAAAGAAGAGCCTACTCTTACTTGTATAGTTCGGTCAGATAAAAAACTCATTATCCAATTATACATTCTTCCTTTAATGCCCAATCTGTCTAGTTTAATTAAAATACCTTCTTTCCAAAGCATGTCGTATGCCTTTTCGATGTCTAAGAAAACTCCCACTACTACCTCTTTATTTATTTGTGCCTTCCTGATATCGTCTTCCAAACATAAAACTGCATCCATAGTGTTTCGCCCTTTCCTAAAACCACTTTGATATTGAGATATTAGTCCTTTACTCTCTAGCACATGATTCAGCCTATTCATGACCATACGTTCCATTAATTTACATATATTTGATGTTAGGGCAGTCGGCCGATAGCTGGATGCTTGTGAGTGATCCTTCCCTGGCTTTGCAACTGGGACAATTATTCCATGCTTCCAAAAAGATGGAAGTTTCCCTAATTCCCATATCTTATTAAAAAGGGATAAAATAATACTTAATGATGCGTCTAATAAATGCTTAATCATTTCATTACATATTTCATCTTTCCCTGGTGATGTCTGTCTAACTCCAGCAAGAGCCCTTTTTAATTCATACAATGTGAACTTCACATCCAACGTACAACCAGATGGACCTCTTTGTACTTTAATATCCGAATTTTCTTTTATTAAAAGTTCTCTGGCTCGTCTCATTCCATCAGAAATATTTCTGTTGCTGTGCACTTTGACAAAAGATTGCGCCAACACTTCTGCTTTTTCCATATCTGTTATTATTGGTCTTTCTTCACTTATTAAACTTGGTATATTGTTATATTTTTGTATTCCTCCCATCCGCCTAATCATACCCCATATTTCACTAACTTCTATTTTTCCTCCAATATTATCACAGAATTTTCTCCAATAATCTCTTTTACATGCACGGATAACTTTCCTTACAACTGCCTGTGCTCTCTTATAATTGATCAGGTCATCAAAGGAAAAGGACCTTCTGACCCTCCTAAGCATTCTGTTCCTAATTCTAATAGCATCGCTGCATTTGTCTGTCCACCAAGGTACTGTTTTCTTTCCTTTTATTCCTTCTTTTTTTCCAATGACTTCTTTTGCTGTACTATATAAAATTTTAACTAACTGTTCACTATATTCCTCTATATTATCATGTATTTCTTCCATTTCTAGCATTCTTATTTCACACATCTCTTTGAATTTCTCCCAGTTAGCTGTTTTAAACTTCCATCTAAGAATTTTGTTTATCTCCATCTGTTCCACTTCTAATCCTATTTCACAACAAATTGGGAAGTGATCACTTCCTATAGTACTGTGTTCCAACACTTCCCATGTGCATTTCCTAGCCAATTCATCTGAAACTAGAGTTAAATCTATCGCAGAGTAGTGACCGCGGGCAACATCAAACCTTGTTGCTTTACCATTATTCAAACACACTAACCTGCTCCACTCCAGCATATCTTCTATAATATTTCCATTTTGATCATGCTTTACACTACCCCATATCGTACTGTGGGCATTAAAGTCCCCACACCACACTAATTTGTGACTACCTGTTCCTCGAATTATCTCTAGTGTTTCTCTACTCAACCTGTTGCATGGATTGTAATAATTAATTATTCTTATATTTTGTCTTCTATTCCAAACATCTATAACCACTGATTCATGCCACTTATTCATTTCTATTACCCTAAACCCTATTCCTTGTCTTATAAAAGTTGCTACCCCACCTCCAATTCCATCATTTCTATCCCTGCGTATTACATTATATTCCTGTAATGTGAACTTTAATTGTGGCTTTAGCCAAGTTTCTTGTATACACCCACAACACTAGGTTTATTATCTAATTCATCAATGTATCTTTTAAATTCTTGCCCATTAGCTAATAAACTTCTCGCATTCCATTGTATAATTGTCAGCAACATTAAGATCCACCACATGCTTGCATGATTGCAGTTTGTACTTTGATCTTTTCACTAATCTCATCTATTGTAATTCCCTCAATATCCAAGTATTTTCCAGCTGCCCTAATTATGATCCTTATCCTTTCCGTTCTGCTCTCTGATTGTGCTGAACAGTTTATTACTTCTGCCATAAATGCAACAAATTTGACTTTATACGCTATTATATGATTCTCATTAATTCTGCATTCCTCCAAGCACTTACTCGATAGCTCTGTTGGTCGCCCTTGTTCACTCTCTTTTTGTACGTGCTTGACTTTTTTAAGAGCTTCGGCATACGACACTCTGTCCATAATCCTGACATTCCGTATTTCCACAGCCTCTTTCCTGACTTTACACCCTCCATACCCAGCACTGTGTTCTTCCCCGCAGTTACAGCATTTCTGCTTTACTCCCTGTCCACATTTCCCGTATTCATGATCTCCACTGCATCTTGCACATCTTTGTTTCCCTCTGCACACACCTGCTACATGACCATACATTTGGCATTTGTAGCATCGGAGCGGTGGAGGAATATATGGCCGTACCATATAACTTACAAATCCAAGAAACACTCTAGCTGGTAACTGCTCCTCATCAAATTGCAACATGACCGACAAACTATCCATTCTTTCCTTATTTCTAACACATTTCAACCTTCTGGCATTGCTCACTGACGCCCCTGTATTATTCTTTTTTATTGTCTCATCAGATACATCAATAGGTACCCCTGAGATTACTCCTCTTATCCACTTCTTTTCTTCCACTGCAGAACAGACGATTTTTTGACCCATCAAGGATTGTAATCCTATTGCTGCTTTTTGCTGTTTTCCATCTTTGCAAAACAGTAGTATTCTATTTTTTCTCAACACCATTGCTTTTTCAATTTTTCCTAACTTTTCCTTCAGTACTTTATTTAGTTTTAACGAATTTATTGCACTCACCGATTCAGATGTAAATTTCATCATTACTTTATATTCCTCCTTTTTCTTTCTAGTTGCACCGTTTTCTCTCTCACTATCCGTACCTGACGTCAGACTCCAACTTTTCTTTCGTTTCCTATTTTCTACCACCGTCCAATTACTATTTTTAGAGTTCTCCTTACCCCGATCAAACATTTCTCCCTCCATATCACTTTCCACTGCCCCAATCTAGTTCCAACCCTGCTCCAACACACAAACCATGTAGTTTTCAATTGAGCTTGAAGGACTTGATTAGCTGGATCAGGTGTGTTTAATTAGGGTTGGAGCTAAACTCTGCAGGGCTGTGGCCCTCCAGGAATTGAGTTTGACACCCCTGATGTAAGGGAATCACCTTTATTATGAAATGCCATTAAAAAAAGCAAAAACAAAACATTCTTGGATCCCAGAATAACATGGAGAAATCACAACAAACATTTGAAGAATCACACAGGCCACGTTGAAGAACAAGGGATGCAAAAAAGCTTATTCCTCAAAAATTGAGAGGAGAGGGGACAGATGAGAGGGGGAAGGGGATGCAAACAGGAAGCTGAGAAAGCGTGAAGACTGATT